TGCATCCAATTCGAAATCACTCACGCTCTGCGGTTTTTTCTCCCAATTTGTTTTGTAATCCCATACACGAATTTCATTAAAACGGTACAATCCATACTTGAGCATATCTTCAACGCGTGCACTTTTAAATAAAAACTTATACTCTTGTTCAAGGGAAATTGGCATAACTCCCTCAGTTTTCATTTCGTCCAGCATATAGCATTTCGGAAGATCGTTTTTCTCACTACAAAATGGCATTTCACAAAGTAAACCATAAAAACCGATAAGTTCAAATTTGTGCACGTCATCCAAAATTGTTTGCCAACTGGGAATGGAGTTTTCGTTTAAAGATTTCAATGTTCCGGAGAAATGTTCATAGTAGCAATGAAGAAGTTTATAACGTTCCCGAGTCAGAGCATCGAAGTTCAAACAGGTATTGAGGAATAAATTTAAATCGTAGCCACAACTGCCAACGAAGCAATTACTGAAGTTACTCTGCCAAAATAAAAATATAAAATTAAAATTTGCATCAATGCCCATATACATATGTATGTACGCATCAGGGTGGTTCAAAAAAAAAAGAAGAATTCTTGAAAATCAATCGAACGGAAAACTATGATTCACTTCAGAAAACTCCCGATAATAATAACCGTTTGTTTATTTACCCCAAAAAAAAGGTAACATAAGCAATTGGGTATTGTTATTGGAAGTCTCCTGCAGAAAAGCCGAGTTTTACTATCGAAAAATATTTATTTCAAGAATTCTATCCCATTTCTACGAAAAATTGTTTTTTTTTTATCTCAAAATAAAAAACACGGGGCTGTAAATTTTTTCAGTATAGAAAAGTCCTAGAGGGTGAGACATTACAATTCTCACTTTACTCTTTCACATGCATTTTTGGACCACCTTAGTGTAGATACATACATGTACATATAAGTGCATATATTAAAATTACATACAAACACAACATCTTCAACATCATTTCCAGTGTATTGGAAATGCATATTTTTCATGTATGGTTCACCAAGTGCGATAACTTTCAACGTTTGCCCATTTTTATCCAACAGATGAGTTAAACGTTTGCGAAATGTTTCCACACAGCTGCGCATTTTTTGTAGCGATTTCTTTAAATTCGGGCCAGTATGCTTCTATAGTTTTAATGGCAGCATTCATGCGGGTTTCCACCTCATCATTAGCCAATAGGGGCGAAGTCTCAGATATAACATCATCTACGGGAAGCTTTAACAGAAAGAGTGATTGAACGTACATATGTATATACATAAATACAAAACATAGTATGTCTCACTGTCTAACCTCTTTTAAATACACCAATGAAGTAGCATGAAATTGTGCCAATTTTCGCAAAACTATTTTTGCATTATTAAATGCCAGACTGCCATTGTTAATGCGTCCAGTACTTGATATGCATTCCATAAAGATGAAATTCTCTTCCAAGTATAAGGTTCTGAAAGAACACATGATTTGGTGACATATTATATAATTGGGTTAAGATTTTTTTCTAAGTGTATACACCGAGAAAATAGTTTGGTTTCGAAAACTGACAGTTAGTTGCCAAATATTGGTTATTATATATGTATATTAAAGTTTGTGATATTCATTTAAGTTGCAGCAAATCGTTAATTTAGATCGGTGATTCCCAAAGTGGGCTCGACGGGGATCTACGTCAGCGTGAAAAATATGGACGTTCAAGAGTTGTAAGTGGGGGTCCACGAAAATTTGCCTGGCTTTGATAGTACAGAATAAAAATGTTGGCTTGGCCTTTCCTACCAATGTAGGCAGATAATACACTACTTGAAAAAATTAACGGAGAAAATAAAATCCAAAATTTTCGGTGATTTTTAACAGGCTGTAGCATTTTGAAGCTTTAACGTTCTAATTTTCACATTTCTTGTCTAAATTTAGGTTTAGTTTCATTTTTTTTAAACCCCCATTAATTTTTTTGAGTAGTGTGAGAAATGAGAAATTGCGGGAAGCGGGGAATCCAGCCTTTTGAGAAATTTTTTGTCGGATTTCGGCACCTGAAATGCAAAAAGACGTAACAAACATCGTCGCTGAAATACAAAAATTCGCAACTAATAAAAAATTCAAATTAAGTATTTGATTGATAGATGGATTTCATCGAATTACAACTCCCCAATCAATTTATGAAAAAAATATATATATATTAGTTACGACTTTTTCCATTTCAGTTACGATGTTGTTACGTCTTTTTAACCGACTTCAAAAAAGGAGAAGGTTATCAATTCGTCAGAATATATACATTTTTTTATGTATCTTACCGCATAACTTTGAACCAGCGATTTCGATAATTCTTTTTCCATCGGAAAGGTAGCGTCTCACAGGTGGTCCCGTACTAATTTGGTTTAGATCCGATCATTGGAACGGTATTCCTAAATTTTTATATGAGAATTGAAGTCGGTTGTGTTTTTTGCTTAAAAATTACTTGTTTAAGCAATTTTCTACAGTGGAAAATTTCTCAGTGTTCAGATTTATAATTTACGAAAATGTTCAAAGTATGTAATTCCATTTTTAATAAAAATAAATATTAATGGCCGTATTTATAATAGCTAAAATAGATGTAAAGAGCTTTATAAAGTGATATTTTGATAAAGATTTTCGATTTATAAAGCTCTAAAAGTCTTCTCTATTTTTGATGAATTTGAGTTTAAGAATTTTTAGATTCTGGCATGGAAATAAACTAAATACATATATAGGTGACAACCCGGTCTATCCGATTATAAATATCCGGTTTAAGAAAAATCAAGATTTCAAAAAACAGCTCAAAACTATTCAAAGAAATACTGGTTGAAACCGGTCCGAAAAACAATCGAGTCAATCACCCTAATATGTCGACGGCTGAGTGGAAGATCGACTTATCAAGGCAGACGGTTCGAAAACGCCCTATCGCAGAAAACTTTCCAAGAACGCTCTATTTTAAAATTTGGTTGAAGAACGGCCTTT